GATGGGGAGGACGAGTTCAGAGTGATAAACTCGATTAATTCGCTCTAAGTCACGCGGCCAGAACGTGGCCTTAATGAGATTCAGAGCCAGGCCTGTCTACCCCCGGAGCCTGTGCTTTTGAAAACTGCCACGATTTTCTCATATCGCCGTCAGATTCAAACCAGAGCTCCCCGTCTCCATGACAGCCAGACAGGAGATAAGACCACCTAAAACTGCCTTTGTCCCGTGGTGATAGAGAAACTGGAATTTTTTTTTCTTTTTCTCTCCCCCCCCCCCCCCCCCCCCCCGTTGGGCACTCAACAGATGTTCTGTGTCCTTGTGGGGAGACGACCACAGGGATGAGGATCTGGAGGGAGGGGGAGGGTGCGGGGGAGTGGGGGGTGGGCATGAGTTATTTTTAAACCTGTTGAGTTTATAATAAACACTCTCAGGAAACTAGGAACAAAAGTGGGGACTTTCTCTAAGAGCATCTACAAAAAAAACTACAGTGAGCATCCCATTTATGGAGAAAGTCTGAATGCCCCCGCCCCTAAGATCGGGAACAAGCAAACATGAAGATGTCTACTGTTCACGTCGCCACTTTTCAGCAGAGTACTGGAAGTGCTGGACCACGCAATAACGCAAGAAAGGAAAATTAGAGGCATTCCATTCTCCTTTTCTCAGAGAAGTGACATTGTTCCTTTTTTTTTTTCTTTTCTTTTCTTTTAGATGACATGATTGTGTGGGTATCAAATCCTAGGAAATATATAAAAAGCCTTCTAGAAAGTTCAGTTAAGGTCGCAAGGTACCATACAAGCATAAAAAATCCATTGTGTTTACTATCAATGACATGTGGACACCAAAATTAATAATATAATGCCATTTATAGTCAGAGAGAGAGAGAGAGAGAGAGAGCGAGAGGAACAAGAGTAAATGTATAACAAAAATGTATAGGACTGGTATGCTGAAAAGTACAGAACACTCATGAAAGAAATAAAAGACCACCTGAGTACATGGAGATACGTACCATGTTTGTGGGTGGAAGGTAACATGGTAAAGATATCAATTATTCTTACACTGATATAGAGGTTTAAGCACAATTCCTATAAAAATTCCAGCAAGGTATTTTGTATATACAGGCTTGTTACTAAAATTTATATGGGAAGGCAAAATAAATATATAGAATAGTTTTTAAAAATTGTAAAAGAAGAATAGAGTGGGCAGAGTCACTCTATATGATGTAAGGCTTATATGGCTACGATAATCTAGACCATGTCATATTGGTAGCTTGATGGACACAGAATCAATGAGATGCAATAGGGAACTCAGAAACAGCCCCGCACAGTTTGGCCAAATGGTTTTTGGCAAACTTGCAAAAGCCATTCAATGGAGAAAGAAACAGTCTTTTCAGCAAATGGTTCTGGAGCTACTGGATACCCACGTGTTATAAAAATAAAACTTGACGTAAACAAAAAATGATCTCAAAAAGGTTCATATAGTTATGTATAAGACATATAACTACAAAACTTTTAGAAGAACACATAAGAGAGAATCCTCAGAATCGAGAGCATGGGGACCCTATAACCAGGGTCTATAAAAAAATACAAATGATAAACTGCACCTCATCAACATTTAAAATGTTTGCTCTGTGAAATATTCTGTGGAGAGAATGAAGAGACAGACTCCGGGTGGGAGAAAATATTTGCAAACCATACCTCCGACAAAGGACTCATATCTAAGACACAGAAAGAACTCTCAAAATACCCCACAAATGATCTGATTAGAAAATGGGCAAAATGAGGAGTCTTTTTACCAATGAGAATATGCAGAAGGCACCTGAGTACTAAATACTCAGCATCACTAGCTGTGTGGGAAGTACAATTAAAACCAGGATCAGCTCTCACTACGCACTAACACAGCTATAAGACCAGCAGGGGATAATCGTACCTGCTGGTGAGGATGCAGTGAAACCGTGTCTCATATACTGTTGGCGGGGGAGGTGAAGGGGGGAGGGAGGGAGGGGAGAATGCAAAATGGTGCCATCACCCTGGACAACGGCCTGGCAGTTTCTTTAGAAACCAAACACGCGCCAAAACAGGTTTGGCTCAGTGGATAGAGCGTCGGTCTGCGGACTGAAAGGTCGCAGGTTCGATTCCGGTCAAGGGCATGTACATTGGTTGCGGGCACATCCCCAGTAGGGGGTGTGCAGGAGGCAGTTGGTCGATGTTTCTCTCTCATCAATGTTTCTAGCTCTCTATCCTTCTCTTTCCCTTCCTCTCTGTAAAAAATTAATTAAAAAAATATTTTAAAAAATAATAATGATTTTAAAAAAAGCAAAAGCAAAAGAGAAAGAAACCAAACACACAATCCAGCAATCACACTGCTGAGCACTTATCCCAGAGAACTGAAAACTTACGTGCGTACCGAAAGCTGTACCTGGCTGTTTATAGTGGTCTCATTTGTAACAACCCCGGATGGGAAACAATCAAAACGCCCTTCTGTCGGTGAACGGGTAAACAAAAGTGGGGATGTCTACCCCATGGAATAATACTCAGCCATAAAAAGGTACACGCTAATCTAAACGGGTCTCAAGGACATCCTGGTAGAAAAAAAACAAAATAAAAACCTCAAAAGGTCACATGGTATACGGGTCCATTTATACAACATTCTCAAAGAGAGAGAAAGCACCGGAAGGGAGAACCTGCTCGTGGTTGCGGGGTGAGGGCTGGTGGTGGAGGGGTGTTGTGACTGTGAGGGACTATCACAGGGAGGGCTTTGAGGCTGGGATCGTTCCATACCTCGATGGCTACACACGAACCCACACATGCGACAAAATGGCATAGAGCCAAACACACACTTCACACCATGACAATTTCCTGGTTTTGATAAGGTTATGGCTAGGTAATATGTAACCAATTTCGAGGAACTAGGTGAAGGTACCTGGGATATCTCTCTCCCCCCCCACTCCAATTTTTGGAACTTTTTGTGAATCTATAATTATCCTATCTAATAAAGAGGAGATATGCTAATTGACCCTCACACTGTTACAAAGATGGCAGCACTCACAGCCAATAAGGAGGGAATATGCTAATTGACTTCCACCATCAAAGATGGCAGCGCCCACAGCCACGAGATGTGGCACCCAGTACCCTCAGACCCCTGGGGCGGCAGGCATGTGGTGCAGGGGCTGCCTGAGGCTCAGGTAACCAGGGCCGCCAAGGCTTGCACTCCTGGCAGTGGCAGCAGTGAGGTGTGAGGGGAAATTCCTTCCCCTGATCGCTGGGTCACCTCCTGGCCCTGAGGGCACCCAGACTGTGAGAGGGGGCAGTCCTGGCTGAGGGACACCCTCCACCCTCCAGTGCATGAATTTTCATGCACCAGGCCTCTAGTTTCAAAATAAAAAGTTAAAAGAAAATCTGTTGAGTAAGGTCTCAGAGAAACCTACTTTTCACAGTTACAAAGGGATTCTGTTGTATTTCTCTTTCTGCTTCAATATTTTAACCCTCTTGAGTAGTTAAAAAGGCTCAAAGCCACTGTTTCTATTACTCCTTTCTTTCTCCCAGCTTCCTTAGATGTCAAGTTGAGGCTCTGGACCAAACCACAGCTAATTCAGAGAATGGAATGAAATGAGGAAATGCTGAGGCTACATTGATTACTTTGAGATCCGTGGCTCCCAGGGGCCCACCACAGTCTGCAAAACCTCTGGCAGGGACAAGAGGCCACTGCCCAGGCTGGGCACTCCGGTGGCTCTGGCTATCATACCCTGAGCAGGGGAAGTTCAAAGCACCAGCTCCATGCCCACCTTGCAAAACCGCGCACCGGGCTGCTGGGGAGGGGACGATGGATGGGACATCCGCAGACAAGTTCAGCAAATGCCATGGGACACTCTTGTGTTTGTGGCGGCTGGCACGGCCATGGCATACTCAGCCCCAGGGAGCCATATGTGCCATACCAGCTCAGCCAGGGTCAGTGACTCTGAGAGGGGCGGCTGAAAGGCTTAGAAAAGACTGACAAAGAGAATGAAAGCTGGGCCTTAGTGGGAATGCTGCTTCTCTGATGGAGAGACAGAGCCACAGACTACAAGCCGTGTCTTTATTTTGTAACAGATGCCACGAGGCAAAATAAGGGCGTGGTCAAGATGTTTATAACATTCTCATGGGTTCCAGTCCTACTCAATGACATGCACCTGATCAAGCTCTGTTTACCTGCAGCCTATAGCACTTAGGCCAGTGGTTGGCAAATTGCCAATCTGTTGACTAATGAGTTTGCTGACCACTGGGATAGGGGCTTAATCACAAGGAATAACAACAGCCTGTGATTATTGGAATCGAGAGTCTAGGTCAGTGGGCGGCAAACTCATTAGGCAGCAGAGCGGCATACCACAGCTCATGAGCCGCATGTGGCTTGCAAGCCGCAGTTTGCCAACCACTGGGCATACGGTGCCATGAGTTTGGACCATAGGCTCAAACCTACAATTACAGCTGTTGGCTATCTTTGTGCTGGGAGGGCTCTTCCCTCCAAGCTGGGACTTGCACGTGGCCACGAGAGGACTGTGCCCTCTCATCAGTCCAAGGCTTGAACCTGTCCAAACACTGTAGCCGTGCCTCACACATTTTCTTTTCTTTAAAAAAAAAATATTTTATTGATTTTTTTTACAGAGAGGAAGAGAGAGGGATAGAGAGTTAGAAACATCGATCAGCTGCCTCCTGCACATTCCCCATTGGGTATGTGCCTGAAACTAAGGTACATGCCCTTGACCAGAATCGAACCTGGGACCCTTGAGTCTGGAGGCGGACACTCTACCTACTGAGCCAAACCAGTCAGGGCGTCCCACATGTTTTCACTACGCTTCCTGCGGAAACCCAGCACGTGTGGCCAGTGGTTGTGGGCAGCACACGGAAGGGAAACGTGGCTGGAAGGCCAGAGGTTACGTTTCAAAAGAGATGTGAGTCCACAAAACCGCCGGGGCTTCGGAGGGGGCGAGGGAACGGGGTGAGGGAATGGGGCGGACGGGTTCTTACCGCTAGAACCAGGTCTGAGTCTTCGTGCCTTCCAATCGTCGTACTTTTGTTCAGGACAAAAAAGCCTTTGGCGCTCTTTAGATAGGCTTTCATACTCTCTGCTTTTCCTGGACGAGGTGTTCAGAAAGAAACCGGTTAGAAAGAGGCATTCCTCCGATCACCCCACGTCCTATTCAGAATGAATGGGACACACTGTCCTGCCCAAAGGTAAGGTGACCAGACGTCCCGCTTTTGGCGGGACAGTCCCGATTTCAAACAATTTGTCCCTCGTCCTGCGGCGTTTTAAAAAAATCCTATCTCGTTAGCTTGCAAGCAGGGGGAAAACAGCCCCTTCCAAGTTCCTGACAGTTCTGTTACCCCCTACCCACTGTCTGGAGCAAGGCCTGATACATAGTAGGTGCTCAGTCAACACTGGCCAAATGAATGAAAATACACATGACACCTCCGAGCCCTCAGAGGGCCAAGCTAGGAATCTTGAGCAGTAATTACCCTCATTTGCTGCTTAGTGTCTATTCTACATGGCTTTTTGGAAAAGCTAAATCCTCTCTCTTTAGCTTTGGGGTTGGTTGGATAACACTTCCCCTGAGTCCTGCCCTGCGCAGCCCTTTCCTGGCCTGAAAACACCGTAGAAAGTAATCGAATGTGTTCAACTCGGCAAATTCGTTCTTAGAGCTACGGAGCACCAGCCACCGTGAAGAGGAGAGAGCTTCAGGCATGGGCACTCCCTGACCACTTATGGGCTGCGGACACGGGATTTCTCCTGAGGGCTACAAGGCCTTCCGTGGCCTGGCGGCGTGGAAGGTCCTCAGAGGAGAGGCCAGGTAAGGGGGATCTCTTACCCCTGGCTGTTGCTGTTATGAAATCCAGAAAACCTGGGGTGGTCCCCCCTAATCCCAGCTGTACCCCACAGGACATCGGAGAGTTGGTGCCAAAGAGGGCCTGTGAAGCTCCCATGGGGCCACCTCGGAGGGCAGGTGGGAGACCGCACCCAGGTAGGAAGGGCTGGGTGGGGGCACCTCCTCTGGGTGCTCCTGCGGACAGGGGTCTGGATCAGAGAGGGCCTGGGGCGGGGCCGGCCCCTCCCGGACACCGCAGCCCTTGACCTCACAGGCAGGCCGGCCAGGTCTCCGCCCGCCGCCCCTCGCGGCCGCGCTCACCTGGCCGGAGGAAGATGCCGCCTCCGCCCTCCGCCCACAGCCTGGCGGGCTCGCGAGGCGCCAGGCCCGCTCCGGGGCGAGGCCTCCCGGCCACGCTCCCGCGGATTCTCCAGCCGGAGGCCGGCGCCCCGCGCACCCGCCCGGCCTGTGTACGCGCGTCCCCATGGCAACGCGCGGGGCCAGCGGGAGGGCGAGGGGCGTGGCCTGGAAGAGCGAGGGGCGTGGTCTGAGCGGGGGGGGGCGAGGGGCGTGGTCTGAGCGGGGGGCGAGGGGCGTGGTCTGAACGGGGGGGCGAGGGGTGTGGCCTGGAAGAGCGAGGGGCGTGGTCTGAGCGGGGGGGGCGAGGGGTGTGGCCTGAGCGGGAGGGGCGTGGCCTGGGCAGTGCGCTGGGAATGCCGGCGTGGAGTAGGGCTGCCAGCCACACCTCCAGGAAACTCCCACCTTCCCACCCCATCCCCTGCCATCGGCCACTTAGGGGGCCTCGGCCCCATTTCACAGATGGGGAGACGGGGGCTCAGAGTTCACAGAAGTGTCCCAAGGTTTTATAGGGAGAAAGGAGCGGACTCAAGAATTCTTCCTAGGCTGGCTGCGTTGGGGTGGGGTTGGGGGAGGGGGTGGGGGGTGGGAGGGGGCAGGGGTGAGAGGTGATGGAGCTGAGCCAGGAGAAGCCTGGAGGTTAACCCCCCCTGCCCTCCCTCCATCCCCGTCCTTCTTGTTGCAGATGAGGAAAGAGAGTGAGCTGGGAGGACCAACACTTCTTGGGGGGATGTGGGGGTGAGGGTTGGGGTGGAGGGAGGAATGGGGTGGAAGGAACAATTTTGAAAGAATGAGGGTTTCTTCCAACTGCTGGGGAAAAGATATTTCCAAACCAACAACCTTACAGTTCCTGTACTTCCCTGTCAAGAGGGACGTTTATTCATTCACTTGTTCTTTATCCTTGAGTCCCTGGGAGTGTCAGGCGGTGGCCCCAGAGTTGACCTGCATCAGCCACGGTCCTTAAGAAGTCCTTACCCACGGGCACTGCAGAGAAGCCCGGCTCAGAAACGTCAGCAATGATCATTATTGTCGTTACATCACTATTTTAGCAGGAAAATAAGGCTCTGGGGAAGGTACTCAGGTTTGCACAGCTGGAGAAATGGCAGGATTTGAATCTGGATGAGTGTGCCAAGGAAGAATTTTCCCCTCCTCCCCCTTCCCCCCACCGGAACTACAGGTGGTAGTTGTCACACCCACAAGACACAAGTGCTTTCCTTCATCTCTGAAAAGGCTGGGCTCCTGTCTGTCTGGAAGACCTGGCAAGTTTGAGGGCAGAAGGGAAAGAAAGGGGGCTTGGGCCTGCCACCAAGCTCACCTGCCAGACACTGGGCTTCCTTCCTGTGGGACCTCCGCCCCCATGAAGCCATATTCTGCCCTAGCCACCTTCCCTGGCCGCCCTGGATTGGGGCAAGCACCCCCTCTGGGCCCCCTCCCCAGGCCTACCTGCTGTTTTTCCTGTTGCCCCAGCCCACCCACTGGGAGAGGTAGGGAGGCTTGTCAAGCCTCTAGGGGGTAGGAGAGAGCCAGAGAAATCGGGAGCCAGGGAGAGCAGGAGCTAGACTAGAACATGAACAGCAGGAAGTAGCCACGCGGTGGGGGAGGAGGCCAGGCGGGAGAGCAGAGGGACCCCTGGATCCTAAGGGCCCAGGAAATGCAGACTTTTATAAATACCCCCTCCATCCCCCCCAAAATAAACTGAAACCTTTGAAGGAACACTGGCAACCCAGGCCTTCCTCACCCCTCCCTTGGCAGAAAATGAGAACACACCCACCTTTCCTTAAAGGGGCGCTTCTCCTGCTGGTTGGGGCCTCCATTTCTCTGGCAGATCAGCCTTTGGTGTCCATTTTCCTTGGTGCTCTGGGCCTCGCCACCTCCTGTTTGAACACTGCAGATGGAGTGCGCTCAGTGCACCTTTAATGGGCCTGTGGTTTGTCTCATTCTGTCTGGAGCTTCCTCCTCTCGCTGGGAAATGGAGATAATGGCAGCATTACCTGGAAGGATGGAACGGGTAAAGTACTGAATGGTGAGGGTGCGGGAGAACCGCTCCTGAGTGTCTGCGATTATTGCCTGCTGTTCTTTTCTTTTCTTTTCTTTTTTCTTTTTTTAAACATCACTTTCTTCCTTTTTAAAAAAAAAATATATTTTATTCATTTTTTACAGAGAGGAAGAGAGAGGGATAGAGAGTTAGAAACATCGATGAGAGAGACATCCATCAGCTGCTTCTTGCATACCCCCTACTGGGGATGTGCCCGCAACCACGTTACATGCCCTTGACCGGAATCGAACCTGAGACCTTTCAGTCCGCAGGCTGATGCTCTATCCATTGAGTCAAACAGGCTTTGGCAGCCTGATGTTGTTTTCTGATGATATGCGGGGCAGCCCAATCTCAGCCCAGGTCACACACACCTGGGGGGAAATGCTGTGTGCTCCAGGCTCAGGCCCCCCACCCCCACCCCACCAAACCTGACTCCGAACAGTCCCATACCACTATGCCCATTGCTCTGGCACTTTTCTAGGTGTGGATGTCAGAGATGGGCTGAGTCCCGGCCCCAGAAAGCCCCCAGGGAGGATTCCTGGGAACCTGGCTGGTCTCAGTGGGACAAACCCATAAATTCTACTTCCAGGCCTCTGGACAAACCTTCATTGTGATTATTAATTATTATTTGCTTGTACCAAGGAACCTTTATGCATGTGGTTAACAAAACCAGCTAATATTGATCAAGGCTTGTTAGGAACCAGCTACCATGCCATGCACAGCTTTATTTAATTCTCTTTTATAGAAAGGGAAACCGAGGCACATAAAAGTCAAGTAACTTGGCCCTACCTGGTTTGGCTCAGTGGATAGAGCGTCGGCCTGCGGACTGAAAGGTGCCAGGTTCTCACGCATTTGTGGATAATAAGGAACATTATAAACTGATAAACAAAAAGATAGATACAGAGACAGTAAAGCATCAAACAAACTGTCAAATTACAGCAGGAAGGTTAGAGAGAGGTGGGGAAGATAAGAGATCAACTGAAGGACTTGTATGCATGCATATAAACATAACCAATGATCGCAAAACTCTGGGTGGGGGAGGTGTCAGGGCATGTATGGGAGTGGGGGGGGGGGGAATGATAAGATATGTACACATATAATACCTTAATAAAAAAGAGAGAGAGACAAAAAAAAAAAAAAAAAAAAAAAAAAGGTCCCAGGTTCAATTTCAGTCAAGGGCATTACCTTGGTTTCGGGCACATACCCAATAGGGAGTATGCAGAAGGCAGCTGATCGATTTTCTCTCTCATCTATGTTTCTATCGGTAACTATCTATCCCTCTCCATTTCTCTCTGTAAAAAAAAAATTAATAAAATATATTAAAAAAAAAAAAAAAGTCAAGTAACTTGTCCAGGCACAAATTTTGTAGGCGGTAGGTTCAAATCCTGAACCTGGCTATTTAACTCTGGAGTGCTATGCTTTTCCGGGTAAACTTTTTATTAAAAAAGAATACACTTTTGAAAAGTGAGCATCTCAGGGGTGTTCCCTTGAAGACTTTTCACCAAGTATATGCACCTGCAGAACCAGAACCCAGACCAAGAAGCAGAGCCTCGCCAGCCCTCACCCGAAGTCCCTTTGAGCTCCCTTCTTGTCACTGCCCACCCACCACTCTGACTTCCAATGTCCTAGGTCAGTGGTCGGCAAACTCATTAGTCAACAGAGCCAAATAGCAACACTACAATGATTGAAATTTCTTTTGAGAGCCAAATTGTTTAAACTTAAACTTCTTCTAACGCCACTTCTTCAACATAGACTCACCCAGGCTGTGGTCTTTTGTGGAAGAGCCACACTCAAGGGGCCAAAGAGCCGCATGTGGCTCATGAGCCGCAGTTTGCTGACCACGGTCTTAGGTGATTAGTTCTGCT